CTAAAAGATCGATATTTTACCTGATATCCAAGTGCACATTTTGCTATAGCAAACATAGCTGTATTTGTTCTATCAAGACAATCAACACAATTGACTCGTGCAACACCTGTTTGTACAAAAAATGTTTCATATGGTGTTAATTTAATTGCATTTTCTCTAGAAAAAATTATATCAGAAGTTATAGCTTTTTCTCATTGAATAAAAACTTTACCGATCATAAAAATATTGTTTATCATTAACTAATAATGGAAAATTTTGAAAGAATCCAGTTTGTTGTAAATATCGTCGAGCAATTTCATCTAATTTTGGCATAACTCGTCGATGTTTTCTTAAAAGAAAGATAGTCATCGAATATATTCTTACAGAAAATTCTAGATTACATACGAACGATTAGCACGTGCCATATCAAATGCTAAATATTGAATATTATTATCATCCGGTACAAATTGTTTAATATAATCCAAAGCACCACAAAATTCTTCTGATAAAGTATATTCTTGTTTTTTCTTTTCATGTTTCTTAAAGAAGAAAAATTTTTTTGTATGAAATTAAATCAAAAATTATATTTTATATTACTTTAACAAGATTAAGTACAAGAACTAAAAAAGAAAATAAAATAGAATTCAAAATAAAATACAAAATTATTCAACTAACTAGGTGAACCATATCGATAAAGTAATTGTCGAAAATGTTGTGATGCTACTACATAAGTTGGATCATTCATATCAACTAGAAAAAATACATTATGTATGACTAATTATTTTAATTTACTTACTCATAATCGGTGGTTTAGGTACTTGTTTTGGATCTTGACTCCAAAATGCTGGTATACTACCACGTAATTGTACATATGAAGTAAAATGACTTTTACCAAGAGAAGAAAGTGAAGCATCATGAACAATTTGTTCGGTTTCAACTTCGTTTGCTACATAACCCTATATTTTCTCATGTATAAATATTCTGTTTTTTTCTTATTTGAAATTTCTCTATTACTTTACAATTTCCTCCACGTTTAAGAAATCTTGTTCCAGAATATTTTTGTGATCGTCGACAGATTAATGTTAAATAAATTGAACGACAAAAAACATTTAAATTATATTGAAGTATAACACCTAAATAAAAATAATTTTATTAACGAATAGAATGATTTGATAAAATTTTTCTACCATGTACAATAAAAAGTAGCCATCTTGGATGAACTTGTGATCGTAATGGTTCTTGAAGATATTCATTCCAAACATACTTCCATGTTGGTTGATAACGTGTACCCCAACAAAAATTCTCAGTTAAATTTTCCTTATTAGTTCTAGTATTTTGTTGCATAAAATTATATTGTAATGTATGTGTTAAGTCGTATGTATAACTAAAATAAAATCCATTTGTTAAATCAAGATTTTGTAATGCACGAAGATATCTAGATTAAATATATTTAAGAAATAATTTTAAACAAAATAGACTAATCTTACTTGCTTTCATCTGGATGAGTTTTTTTTATATCTTCATTTGTAATACTTAACATTGATGTTTCATCGATTTTATATATTCTATGATAACCTATTCTTGCTACTTGACTTCGTCGTGTTATTACAATCATATAATATCCTTCGAGAAATTTAATAAAACCTAATTCAAAATAGACAACATAAGTTTTTTCATTTCTTTTATTTTCTTTTCTGTACCGATGATTCCATGACAAAAAACTGTTTTACTAAAACCACCAGCACGACTATTACTTATCTCAATAGTACCAAGAAGTTGACGAAGTTCAGTATGTGTATATTCATGCTAGAAAAATAAAATAATAATCAAATCGATTGTTTAAATCGAATATAAATATACTTGATCTTCAACGATAAGTAATTCTTTTTGATCCATACGATCAATTTTTAGAATACGACCTTTTGATCTACTTTTATTCATTGCCACAACAATATAACGCTATTAAAAGAACAGATATACATATCGATAGTGATAATATGAAGAACTTACGTTATGTGTAGCATAAATAGTAAAATGTTGCCATGGATTAAGTAATGGATATTCAAGAATATGTGATGGCATTTTTTATTATCTGAAAAATATTTCATAGCATTTTTAAAATCGAAAACAAAAGTTTTATATTTTGAATAAAGGAGTGCATATTACTTTGATGTATTGTCATATTTTAATATACTTACAATCAACGAACTGACATACATCAATTGATCAAAATCAGTACTTGTATGATACTTTTATCTACATGTATCTTAACAATGAATGATTGGGTATAATTTAGAAATATTATAAAAATTATCTGAGTAATATATATATCTAGAATATTAAATATATATTATTCTCTTAAGAATATTAATTTTGAGAAAATAAAATTTCTTGTAGCAAAATATTATGTTATTTTTTTTTCAAACGTTTCACTTTTTGTATTTGTTCATGATCAGAATTTTTGTTCTTTTTCGTTTCGATTATTTCTTTATCATTCTTCAAGATTTCTAAACGTTTTTCCAATAAATTGATTTCATCTTTAAATTGATTTTCTGTACAAAATTCTAACAATTGTTCATATCGTTGAATAAAATCAAATTTTGCTAATTCAGATAATTTTCTCATATCAATTGGACATAAAAATAATGGTTGTGAAAAATCTTCTTTTAAATGTCCACTTCCATTCATTAAACAATTATAATATATACAATGATCAATACCAAGTAAATGACCTATTTCATGTGTTAAAAGATGACATGAACGAAGTAAAAGAGTTTTTGATATCAATTTTGATTGGGTTTGTTTTATTTTCCAATCATACCAAAATTCATCACCAAATTTTAAACGAGGATCATAACGAAAAAATGAAAAAGCAGCAACACGAGCATTTCCTTGAGCTAAACCAGCAATAAATAAATCCGGTTCACTCGAATAAAAATCATGTAATGTTATTGCAACTAAACAACGAGCATCAGGAGGAACTGAACGTTTTAATAGAGTAAGAACATTATCTACACAAATTTGTGAATGTTCACTTGTTGGATCATAGCGAGTACGGAGGGTTATTTCTTTTGTTGATTCATTTCTACTTTTAGTTGTACCTGATACAAATTATTCTATCAAACAATGAAATCAATCGAAGATTAACTTACATATCCATGTTCGTTTTGATTTATTCCAAATGAAATTTGTAAATAAAGGAAGAAGTTTAACTTCTGTTTGAAAAAATCGTTGAGTATAATCAATTAAATGATTAATATTTAATAATGATAAACGATCATCATTATCGAGAAGTGTTAAGTAAATATATTTTTGTAATGAACTATCATCATCGAGATATGGACATTCATCAAGAAATTTTGTATATGTTTGGCCTTTTTCTTTATAATTTGCTAACCAATCTTGATCACTTGCCGGAGTTGGTAATGAATTAAATGAATTTTTGAATTCATTCGAAAATGAAGCATCATGACCGAGTGCTGCATCAATATCTTCTTGTTTTGGTATGCGAAAACCTCGTACAAATGATATTTTTTTTGACATGCTTTTATTTCTAAATAAACAATATAAAGTAAGAACAAAAAATAAACAATTTTCAGTTTAACTGATATCTCTATTTTTAATATTTATAAGTAAACAAGAACAACAATAATCTACATATATAATAACAACGAATATAGATATGGAATTAATTATCATCATCACTTTCACTTATAACTTGACGGGCTGATGATCGAACAGATCGATTAGTTGTACTATTATTATTGTTTCTTGATGTTCGTTGTCTTTTATTAACTGCTGTTGTAGTTGGTTGTTGATCACTATTTTCATTCGTTGTTTTGGTTGTTTTTAATACACTATCAACATCATTCTTATTCCATTCTTTTTTACATGTTGGACATGGATAAGCACTTTTTTTATTTGTTGAATTTGATAAACGAAGAAAATATCGAGCAGCACATGAACGATGCATGTGAACATCACACGAACTAAAATTTTCAATTTGAAAAACATAAAAAGAGATAAATTTGTTTCTCATAATTTACCTATTTGAACAAACTAATCCTCGAATTAAAAGACGTCTACATATTTGACAATTATATGTATCATCTCGATATGTATCCGTAATAAATGATTGCATCTCTAATATAGCTCGAGCATGAAGTATAATTGTATTATGTGGACCACTTTCAATCCATTTATCACGATGAAAACGTGCCATAATTTCACCAAATTCTTTTTGTGTCATTTTTAAATCATTAGCAAGAATTGCTTCGAATACAACACGTGACGCTATACATCTATGATATAATAGAGAAAAAAAATGATATATATTATTCATTCGACTAACTTTTCATCATTTGTAATGATTAATTCTAATATTTTTTCAAAAATCGCTGCTTCTTTTTCCGTATATGAACAATCCATTTTAACAAATTGTGGTTTAAAATTTTGTATACATACAAAATAAATATCATTTTCATTTTCTTCACTAACAACTTGTTTTATTTCCATACCATATTGATTAATATGTTTATTAAGTAATGGTAAGAAAGTATCTGTAAATGTTCGAATTTCATTTTGAACTTTTATTTTTAAATCATATCGATCACGTAAGTTATTTAACAGATCAATCAATTCATGTTCATTATAAGCACCATCATGAAGAAAATATTGTATTAACTGTTTATAATGATCTTCAAGTGGTGGTGGTGTTGTTGTTGTCATTGATATTAGTCTACAAGCATTCGTTCTTTAGTCTCTTAATATATATAGACACAAATTGTTTTTATTTTTATATATAATTAATTTTATTTATTGAAATTTTTTCTTTTGATTCATGCAAGCATTCTCTTACATACTGACGACGAGGAGAGAGAAAAAAAAATAAAAACAAAGGCAAAAATGACTACAAATGGAGGCAAAAAAATATATTGCAAGCGAGAAAAGAAATGACATGTTTACACAATTAATGTTGACTAGAAAAGCCATATATACATATTTATACTGATGTATTTTGATTAAATAAATTGTGGTTTATAAGCTAGATAAGCTTTTAAATTGTCAGGTAAACGTAATTGTTTAATTTGTTTTCGATCAATATAACGTAATATATGACGTCGTGTAACTTCTTTTAATGTTGTACATGTATATGGTAAAGAATATACTTCAATAAGACGTACATTCGATGATGGTTCAATATTTTTTAGAACAGCTAATGTTGAACCACAATTTGATAATGATGGATAAATATTAAATAAAAGCGAAAATTCATTTGTAAATACAAATGGAGAAAAAAATGGTCCACGATAATCGATAATACTTCGTGTATGTAATAAGGTCGATGAATTGAGGATGTATAAAAAATAATTGCGTTTTACACGTTGAAATATAGGAACTAAAAATAAATTTAATCTATTAAATTCTATCATAGAGAATGCTATAGTTGCTGAACTCTATTCGTTTATATAATGATCACAGATATTGTTTCTTAGATAGATGGTAGTCTGACTATACGTAATTTATTAGAAAACTATTTCTATAGTAAAATCTTTTCCTTGAATAAACTCATATGTTTTAATAAGAAATACTTACGTGTGCATAGAACAATAATGAGATGTCCATCATGTGTATATTCTACTCGATAAACTTTTGTTTTTAATGTATGATTTGAGCAAACAAGTACACGATCTTTTTTAATATCAGTGATTTGTCCACGAACTGTATCAAATTCTGCTAAACGTGAATGACCATAACGTGGATCAAATGAAAATCGTTGATCATAACCTAATGATTCAGCAATAATAAAATGTCATTTTTAGATGTGTTTTTTTTCAATTAGAACTTACGAGCTGGTGTTATACGAAGTATTGCATATGTTTTCATATCAAAAATAACTGTTACTTCATGTGTTTGATGACTATATGAATGTTTATCTTCATAATCAGGTGTAACTAATAATTTTGTTCTATCAGGTGATATTAAACATGTATATGATCGTGCATTAAAACGATGTGCAATTGAATTAAGTTTTCGGACAATACGATTGTTCCATGAGGATGATGATGATGACAGAGAAAATGTGGGTGAATATGATGATGGTAACAAAACTGATTCTCCATTATCCATACAACTACATGTGGATGATGATAATGAATTTAAATATGGTGTTGAACGATGTTTAGAACCATAAGCTAAATAATTCTGTTGATTTTTATTATTTACTAATTCATTTGTATTTGAAATTGAATATGAACGTGTACTGGCTGTATTTGAACTAAATAAATTAACAGAACTTTTTTTTACATTCTATATAACAATCCGATCTTCATAAAAACTTAGCAGTAATAATTTTAGAATTAAAATCATTCAAACAAATCGAAAGAAAATTAAGCAGACTACTAACCGACTCGCCGATTTTCCAAATCGGGTTCTCGACGTAGTCGATGTGACATTTGTATTGTTAATATTAGCGTTCGTATTATTATTAGCAGCAATAGCAGCTGAAGCAGTTACCAATGTACATCTCGCTGAACCAGTTAAATATGATGCTTTTTTTGTATTATCAACAAATTCATATGCATCATTTTGCATATCCAAACGATTTTCTGTATCATTTAATAATGAACATGATTTAATTGGTGTATGTTGTGGTTTACTTGTATGATAAGCACTTAGTGTTGCTGTTTGCATCAATGAACTATGTCTATTTAATGGATTTACACGTGCTGTTGATTCATTAATTGATGATGATGATGATGGTGGAGCTGGATTCGAAGATTGTTGTTGTAGAATTATAGACGATTTTGGTCTTTGTGATTGTCGATGAAAACATTTACATTTTACAGATGATTTTGTTTCAGACGATTCAGTAGGTGCAATAGGTCGATCAAATACAAATATTTCAACCTAGATTTTTATTTTATTTATAAAATCAGATAAAAAATTGTAAACTTACTTCATTGTTTCCTTTCCATAATTGAAAGACAATAAATTCGTCACAGCAAGCAATAACACGATTTAAACGATGTATACGATCACGTACAGCATTATCATTCGTACGGTAACGTTCAATATTAGATGGTACAGTTAGTATAACATCATCTTCGCCATGTTCACTCAGAATAAATTGTGAATCACCAAGACGTGTTAAACTTTTAAAAAATCGTCCATTTACATAATAAACTGGTTTAGGAAGTAAACGACGTGAATCAAGATCATTAAATGGTGTTGTTGATGAACATGTAACAGTCGATGATGAACTTGATAGAGTCATTGCAGAGCCAACTAATGCAGATGCAGATTGATTATTATGACGAATATTTGATTTATTACTTGAAAATGTCATAGATGATGGGACAGATGTTGATGTTAACTGGGTTTTTGTTTGAACATTAAAATCATTGGTTAATGATGATGAAGTTGATACATATGATGTTGGAGTAGAAAATGAACTTGATGAAAGTGTTGGGTGAACAGAAGATATTGTATTATTATTATTGTTATTCAAAGAGATTTCACAACCACTATCAGTACTAAATTGATTAAAATGACCAAAACGACGTGCATCATGATAAATCCATTTTTGATAAGGAATAACAACGATTTTACGTGCACCAGGTGGTTGTGGTACACCGGGTAATTGTTTTTTATTGACTGTTATACCGTTACCCATCTAGAATTATAAACAATAAAATAAAAATGCAAGATAAAACTTCCTCTTCCAGCATACATATTACAGAAATCACTTCGAACAAAAATTTTCAGAGATAAACAAGCTCCAATAATAAAAATTATTTTTTTTGCTTCTCATGTTCCAAATAAGAACAAAAGAAAAAACATAGATCGCTTTTTTTTTGTCGTATTTTAATTCAAAAACGACTAAAGAAAAGAAAAGAAAAACAAATAGAGAAGATCTTGCAAAAATGTGAAAAGTCCATTATTCTATTAAATTGAAATACACGCACACTCACACACATCAAAAATGAGTCAATCTTTTATCTGTGTGATAGAAAAAGAAAACAAAAAACAAGAAAAAAGATCGTCGCAATTGAAAAAAGAAGAAAACAAACAAAAAATTTAACAACACGGCACACGAAAAACAAAAAAGATAATTAATAAATGAACATTGTACAAATTCGATACACAAAATATCATTCCAGTGGAGACAAGACACACAAATAAATATATATATATATCAATATATACATATATCTACGATGTGCATAATATTGCGAAAACACAAAATCGAAAAGGCGGCAAGAGAAGACACTGTACAAACAACAACAACAACAACAGCAACAACAAAAAATATATAAATAAACAAAAAGAAAGAAAGAGAGCGAGAGAGAGAGAGAAAGAAATGTAGAGACTAGAGGCAAATAAGAACGGAAATACAGGTGGGATTGAAATAAATTGCACACACATGCACACAAATTTATTTTTCAGATCAACAAAAACAGACATTGTTTTCTTTTTTTGAGCTACATAACTACAGAGAAGAAAACCACATACATACACATACACATTTATGTATAAAATAAAGCAGCAAAAGCAGCCTGAGATAACAAATAAATGTGTGAATATGATTATATGTGTGTGCTTACAATATTAAACAATAGTATCACAATATGCGAAAAGAAGAAGAAGAAAAGTAAATGAAAAATGATTTATTTTTTAAGGTAAAAGATGATCAACACTTGGTAGAGTGTCTGGTGGTAATGGCTTGACAAATAATGAAGGTAATGTTAAATCATTATTACTGAGATTATTATTGCCATTCATATACGGTTCAAAATCGCCAAAATTAACATCATCAAATGAAGCAGCTGTATCAAAATCATCATTAAGTAAAAGAGAATTTAAATTTGTATCACTTCCCCATGGTGTTGAAAAATCAAATGAATTAAAATCTGTTTGCCATTGATGTTGTTGTTGTTGTTCAACAATAATAGGTTGAGGTGGTAATGGCATCGATATTTGAATTTGTTGTTGATGTTGTTGTTGTTCTCCTTCTTGTTTAGTTTTTTTTGTTGTTCGACGTTTTGTTGGTGGTTTATCGGCATTTGCTGTTAATTTTTTTGCTGGACTAGCTTTTGTTGTTCGAATTGATTTTATTACAAGATTATCATTTTGTTCAACTGATGTTGTTGTATGTTCAAATCGATTGATTGTATCAATAAGATTATCAACACCAGAAAATGATGACGAATTTAAACCTTTAAGTAATGTACGAAGTGTTTTAGGTTCAACAGGTCCATTTAACAGAAGGCAATTGCCACCATCATCAAGAGTTGGTTGACTACATGAATTATTTGTATTATTAATATTATTATTGACAGGTGCAACATTACGAGTAGAATTGAATGATTCTAAAAGAATAAGAAATATTTATATTTATCTTTTATATAAATCTAAGATTGTAGTAAATAACGTGCTCCAATGAAAATTTCTTAGATTTGTATTCTAAAGACTTTCACTAAGACGAAATCTCCTATAATTTAAATAAGTTTCATTTTGGATAGGATTATTCTCTTTAACTTCATTCATTTAAAATAAAATATAAATAACAAACCATCTAATTGAGGAATCGATGGTGTAAGAACTAATCGTTGTTGTGATGATTGATCATTTGTAATCTTTTGTTGAATAATATAGGGTTTATTATTAATAAAAAATATTTGTTGGTGTTGTTTTTTCTCATCACTATTATTGTTATTATTATTACTAAAGATAATTTGTTGTGATGATGGTTGTTGATTATAATCATTTGTTGATGGAACATGTAGTACAACTGATTGACGCATTGGTGTTGTACTTGGTAATAAATTTGTCGTTTCTGTACAATTTTTTAATCCAGATGAAATAATTGGTAATTTCTTTTTAATAAGTGTTGTAGCATTAATTGCAGTTTGTAATGATGATACTGGTGTTGCTGATGATGGTGGTGATGATGTTATTGTTCGTTGTTGTTGAGTTTGTGCTTTTTGAAAAAGATGATTAACAATTGCATTTGAATCAGATGAAGCACCTGATGCAAGAGCTGATAAAAGAAAATTTGTTGTTGATGGATCATTAAAATCAATCATTAATGGTTGCGATGAATCATTTATTTGTTCATTATTCGATTTTGTTGATACATATTCTTCAGTAGTTGCTGATGATTTTGAAAGCATTACTTGAGTTTGATTTGATGTTCCCATTAGCGAAATAACATCCATTTGATTTGATGTTGTTGTTGTCGATGAGGATGATGATGATGATGTTAAGCATGGTTTTTGAGCAATAGCTGGCGAACGAACAAAATCCGGTTTTAAAGCATTGACATTCAATGTCACCTAAAGAAAAATCAATATCAATAGACAATAATGTATGATTAGACACAATATCAAAAAACATAAATCTGTTCTTGCTCTAATGAAGTAATGATTTTTTAATTTACTATGTTGCTATTATGTCAATAGTACTTTTCATTCAATAGAAAACTTTTCTATACCTGTTTGCCATTTGCAGTTGTAGTTGTCGTTGTTGTTGATACAGCTGATGAAGCTGATTCCACACGTACACGTTTATTATTATTATTATTATTATTATTATTTGAATCTCGATTAGGTGATAATAAAACATTTTGTACTCCGGATAAAACAGCAAATGTCGATTCATTTGTTGTTGTTTTAACTTGATCAAATAAAGATGGTACACGTGCAATAACATTTGTATCTGTTGTTGATGACGATGATGATTGTGATAAAATTGGTGGTGTTAATATATTATCACTAACATAACGAACAGTACTATTATTATTATGTGTAGATGGGGATGTTGAATTTTGATGAATATGATTTGTCTGTGATGTTGATGAAACAGATGCTGGTGGCGAGAGTATAGATGATGGAACAGGTTGAGTTTGATGAACATCATTTAATGTTGATTTACTACCAAATTGAGCAGTAGTTGGAGATCCAGCAGTAGTTTTACGTGGACGACCACGTGGCCGTTTCGATGGAGGAGTCACATTTGTTTGTTGTACAGGTGTCCATGCCATCGATTGACTATTATCTAATTAAACGAATAAAAATAAGAAATAGACTTTTAATCGAATAAAATAAATAAATTCTTACCAGTTGTTTGACCAATATTATTAACATAAACAACTGATTCATTATTACTATTACCACTTAGATTTGACGTACATACAAATACATTACCATTTGTTGTTTCATTATGTATTCGTTTTCGACGTTTAACTAAAAGAAACAAAAAAAAATAATTTAGAGAAAAAAAAACTAAGAAATTTCAATATTACTTGGTTTTTGTTCGCTTTCACAAAATGAATCAATACAATTTGTTAATGTTGCCATTTCTAATATATTAGATTTCTGTCGACAATTTGTACCTTCAAGAACTTGTGTTACTTCCCAAGATTTTGATAGTATTGTTGAATCAAAGTTAAATACCTAAATATGAGATATTATATACAGAGAGAAAAAAAGACACCAAACATATCAGATATTAAAATAGAAAAAAAAAACTTCCTTTTACATATATATAATGTAGATAAGAGCAACATCTGGTTAGTTTCTAACATCTACCAAATGTTTATTAATAAAATAAAAAGTTAATGTAACCTACAGTTTGTTAATACGAGCACGATATTATTTAAACGTATTCAAGATCTATTAGAACTCCTTTTTTTTAATTTTAGTAAACAAACCTTATCAACAATAAGCGGACATTGAAGACCACATTTGCATGATGTTGATGATTCAAGATAACGACGTACAGCATCCAATGAATCAAGTATTACATTAGTTGGACTAAAAATTCAAAAATAAAAATAAAATTCTCTTCTCTAAAGGCTATTCGTGACAGTAGAAAACTATCTGTTCTAAATAGGTTAAGTCATCCAGAAGAAAAATGTTCTTACCTAAGATAAACAACAAGATCTGTAGCTAATATTCTTCTTTGCCAACCATATGGTACTGCTATATATTCTGATGATGTTTGTATATTATCCATATGATTATTTGGTGAAGTTTTTGTTGATTTTTTATTTCGTAAAAAATTTGGTGATGGCGGTTGTGTTGGTTCATCTTTAACAATAATTCTTGTTAATGCTTTAGCTTCTTTTTTAATTCGTAATTTTTTATTTAATATTGTTTGTTGTTCATTTGATGATGAAAAATTAAATGAATCTATATGTATATTATAATTTGTTGTTGTTGTCTGTTGTTCATTATTACTATCAACTTCTTTAATATTTTTTAATATTTGTGTAACTATTTCAGTTGTTTGTTTTTCATCTAATGGATTACATTTTTTTTGTATATGATCATTATTATTATTATTATTATTATTTAAAATTGTTTGTGTTGGTTGTTGAACATTTGTTGTATGAATATTAACATTATAATTATTAACACTTATATTATTAGCTGTAATATTTGTTAAATTAGTTGTGTTATGCATTGAATTTGTTGATTCAATAATTGTTTTTGGTTTTATTGTTGAAAATGGTGATGGTAAACGTGTGACATTTATTAATGGAGGTTGTTTTATTGGTGTATCATGACTAGATATTGTCGTATTTGGAGGAGATTGTTGAATATTAATATTATTTGTTTCATCTATCTGACTAACAAGTGACGATTGTGAATGAACAAATCGTACAAGATGTGTTGGTGAAGCACTACTACTGCTATTTAATTGACTAGATGATGAAGATGAAGGTAATACTTCATTACAACATGATTCAACTAATTCATCAATTGTTACATTGGCAACAATTGATGATGGATCTTCATCTTTTGTTGTTAAATTTGAATTATCTATTAGTTGATTTGTATATGTTGAATGATAAGTTTCAGTTGTTGTCATTATAAAAAGAATATATATAGTTCGAGATACGAACTATGTAAGAATTTAATAATCATATACAAATAAATTCAATAAAACAAATTAATAAAACAAACATCTGAAAAAAAATGAAATCTTTCTTTTTGAATATTATTGTTATTGTTGTTGTTTGTTATTATTGTTGATTTAATAGCCATAATGAAATGACAAAGAACGCTTTATTGAATTTTGATTGACGAATTTTATTTTTGTATTTTTAGAATAAATCTAATGAAAAAAATAATCTATTTTAGTTTAATAAAAAAGAAAAAAACTCTTTCAAACTATTTTTATTATGAAAATTAAAGCGACATCTATGAATAGAAGAAAGGTAGTTTCTAAGTAACAAACATGTAGGATGGTTAGTCGTGTTTGGTTTATTCATTTTTGATATTATTCAAGTGCCTTACTGATTGCAATGACCGATCATCAAGAATCGGCTATTAGTGATCCTCGTGCTACGCTAGAGAATTTTTCTTCTCGTCAAGAATCATCTTTTCAATATGGTGATCCATCAAAACATCAGACAAAGGTTATTATCATATAGAAATAACAATGATAAACAGAAGACATATCTATTTCTATTTTTAGCAGACAACCAATTCAAAAGATGAAAATTTAGAAAAAGATGAACAAACTATAAGCTATCAAATTGATCCTTATGACACAGAAGAAGTAAGAGTTGATACTTATCCAATTAAAATAAGAATGACAATGTACTTAGCAACAGATGTTTACTAACTGAGCGGAAGTATAAATTATAGATGTTGGCTCGAGATTCTTCGAATTATTGTCTTTCGTGTAGATCGTTATTTCTTTACCATACTGCAATGATAGCAACATGTAATTAACTGATTACATTGTATTCTTATTCTAATCGAAATATAATCGCTCTACCTAGCATAGTTTTGTAAAATATTAACAGATAATGCAAATTATTTCCTAACTGCAACTACAGTTAGAATAGTACAAATTTATCTATCATATTATTTCTTTTTCAGGCAGATAAAAAGTTCCTGGAATCAAAACCAACATGTTTTCTTGTTCTTGGTAAACCCGGTGTTGGTAAAACAACTTTAGCAAGAAAATTAGCTGATGATTGGCATGCCGAACTTATTAACAGTAAATTATATACTTTTCATTATGAAAAAAAAATATTCTTTTATTTTTAGTTGCTGATCTTATTACATCGAATATAAAACAAAAAACTGAACTTGGTGTACATGCACGTGATTTACTTATTCGCGGTGAAGCAGTACCTGATCAAATGATTTCACGAATGTTAGATATTAAAATGCGTTCACCTGAAGTTGCACATCATGGTTTGTAGAAAAATATATGAATCTCTTTGTTTTTCATATTTGATTTTGTAAAGGTTATATTTTGGATGGATTTCCAGTAATGAATGAAAATATAATGAAATTACGTGATCAAATGGAATCTATGAAGAATTGGCCATTACCACCGGATTATGTTATTAATATTCGTATACCTGATAGTGACTTAATAAATAGACGTGAAGGTGAAAAAATTGATCCTCTGACTGGTGCATTGTATATTAAAGAACAATATGCACCTACACCTGTTGAAAAGCCAGTAAGTTTTATTTGAATTTATTATTGATTTATAAATAAAGTTTCTTAAAAAAAAGAAAGAGAAAAAGAAAAAAGAACATTTAAAAGTAAGACATTGATTATAAATTTTGTTGTTCAGTTGTACAGTTTTGTTATATATATCATAATGAAACAATAAATTTCTTGCTTTTGTTTTTCTTAGGCTGATAAACCATCAGACGATGATGATGAAGAAGAAGATAGTGATGGTGATGACGATGATGATGAAGAAACGGAAGAAGAAGAACAACCAGTTGTATGTATCAGAAAGAAAGATATGCAGGATTAAATTTGTCGTGTATATCTCTAAATTAAATATGTAAAATAATATTATTCACTTTTTAGGACGAATTTTTTGAACCAACACCCGCAGAAATTGTCGAACGATTAGTAACTCGTCCAGAAGATATGATGCCAGATGTTACGGAGAGTATTAAATTATTTAAAGATCAATTATTACGAATGTTTGAAGAATATATGGCTAGTTTACCACATTCTTATTTAATTGAACTCGATGGAAATATGTCACCAACAATTTCATTTCAACAATTACTTGAACGTCTTAGTGCTTATCCTATAAGACGAGCAGCTCTTGTTCAACGATTTTTTCCACCAGAAGAAACAGAAGAAGGAATGAATAATGAAGGAGATGATATGGGTATAAATTTAAACGTTTGAAAGGTTGAAAATCTTTGATTAATTGAATATTTCTTTGTAGAAGAAGGCGGCGAAGAAGAAGAAGAAGGAGGAGGAGGTGACAAAGATAATCATGCTGAAGAAGCTCCACCTCCTGATGATATGGATACAGAGGAATTAATGCTCCTATTAGCTGGAACTAATCCTCTATCTAACAGATATAAATGGCAACGTAGTCGATGGTTACGTGTTGATCCAGTAGCTCTTAAACAAGGAAATCGTGTACCTGGTAGACAAGATCTAGCTGTACAGTATGTTAATCTAGTTTTTGTGTAAATCTATAAAATAGTTCATTTTTTTTTTCTTTTAGTTTTATGGATAAAATATTCTGTCTTTCAAATAAAGAATCTTTGAAAGAATTTCAAAAGAATCCTCGACGATTTATTAATGAAGCCCGACAACCATGTAAACTTTTTCTTTATGGTCCTCGAGTTTCTGGTGTTGAACAATTAGCAAAGGATCTTGCCAAGAAATATAATGCAACTGTAAGATAAAAACTAAAAATAAAATAATATTTATTTACTTATTTCATAAAAAAAACAAAGGTTATTGATATGGTTGCATATTGTCAACCAAAAGTCGATGAACTTCGTCAACAATATATTGACAAAATTCGTGAAGAAGTTCAACAAGCTACAATTGAAAGATTAAAACAAGAAGCCGAAATTGAAGCTGCAGGTTTGTATCTATCTATATATATATAAATAGTAGTCTTTATTAATTTTCTTTTGTAGAAAGATTAGCTCGAGAACCAACACCACCAGAAGAGCCCGAGCCAGAGCCAGAGCCAGAGCCAGAACCGGAAGTAGATGTCAATGAGGATGGTGAACCAGCAAATATAGAAGATGGCGAGACAATAACTGATCCAAATGATCTTGAACAAACAGAAAAACCTGCAAATCCTGATGGAGAAAAAGAACAACAGGAACAGCAGCAACAGGAGGAGCAGGAGCAACCTTCAGAAGCACCTGCTGGATCATCACCAGCACCAGTTACTCCTACACCTTCATTGCCAGCACAAGATGAAGCACCACAAGAAGAACTTCGTGGTTTAGGCCCTGAAGATGAACAAACACAAGTTGAAGCAATAACAGCTGATCATCCTGAAGTTAAAAAAGCTGTTGAACAAGCAATTGAAGAAGCTCGTAATGCTTCTATTAATGTTCCTGCAGATGTTTTTGCTGAATTAATGTCACAAGCTATTCAAAAAACTGAACAAGAACAACGAGAAAAAAATCCTAATGGACCTTTGTATATATACTCATTCTATTTCATATATTCATTTTTTAAGATTTCTTCTATTTTCTTAGAAATGGCAATTGGATATGTGTTAATTCTCCATATGATAAAGAAACATTTGCACTTTTAAGTGAAAAACATATTCAACCAGATGATGTTCTTGTTTTACAAGATACTAATGGACAATTAGAAGCATTGCAAAGGCGTTGGTATAAAGCAAATCGAGCTGAAATTGATAAAGAAATCCATGAACGTGAAGAACGTGAAGCTATTGAAAGACGTATTCAAGAAGAAGAACGAAAGTAAATTAAAATTATAAATAGAGAAAAAACAAATTTATTCGTTGTTTTTATAATCATATAGACGACAATTAGAAGAAGCGAAACTACTTGCTGAACAAGAACGACAAGAACGTTTAGCTGAAAGACAAAGAAGAATTGATGCTGGTGAATCGGTTGAAGATGATGAAGATGAAGAAGATGATGGAACAGATGAAAAAGGTCTAATAATATATAAGAAATCGAAATTTTTCTTATCATAATTTCATCTTTTCTTTATGTATAGAAATGGAACAAGCTATACTTGATGATCGAAATTATGAACCAAAAAAAGAAGATTTAATTGATAAAATTCCAGAAACAATACTAGAAGGTAATTAAGAATATCTGTACAGATATCAAGTCATAACACAAACTCATTAGCAATGATATTCTTGTTTCTTATGAATTCTTATTGATATTTAAACAAAATGTTTACATTTATTTTTCAGAGGATGAATCACCGAGTAAAGAAGGTGACAAAGAAAAAGCAAGTAGTACGTATTAATTTAATCTTTTCTATATGTTACAATTATCAAAATAAAACATCATTTTAGCTACTGATCCTCATCGTGGTCCACCATCAATCTCACCAGTTCCACGTGATCAAGAAATTTTACCACCAGCTGGTATTGAACGAGATACATTTGTTCAACAGGCTCGTGCTGATATAACACAAATCAATGAATTAATAACAGCAATAGCAAATGCTTTTAGTATTGAACCTGTCTACATTGAATTAATGAAAGATGATGGAGAAAAATTAAAAACAAAAGATGAATTAGTTCAAGAATCATATGAGGCACTTGAAAGTATGTCTTATTAGAATTATTTACTTTATTTTTAATATTAATCTTTAAGAACAATTTAAATATGCTCCTCTTGAAATGGATGATACAGAAGACGGTGGTGATGCTGAAGAAGAAGCGGAAGAAGGTGAAAATGAAGAGGAAGCAGAAGAAGGCGAAGAAGAAGAAGTTGATTTATTTAAACGTGATAAAAAGAAACATCTTGGTGATACAAGTATTTATGATCCAGTATCATTATTTGATAAGAATGTTCTTGTACCTGGTAAACCAGATTTACCTGTTACATATAATTCTAAAACATATCGTTTTGCTAATGATGATAATCGAAGTGCATTTTTACAAACACCATTGAAATATTTATCAGCTACAAAACCATCAAAAGTAATTTGATTTGTTTTTTTTTCAATTAGAAATAATTCAATTTATTTTATTAGTTACCAGCTATTCGTATTTGTTTAATTGGACCTGAAGCTGTTGGAAAAAGTTTACATGGACGTGAATTAGCTATGAAACATAATACATTTCATATTAAATTTCGTGATCGTTTACAAGAATTAATTATTGGAAAAACTAAAGTGAAAGTTGGACCACAATATAGTGAAACACGAGATGATGATGAAGCGTAAGAATGAAATAAAAAGAAATGATATTTAATAGAAAAAATTCATGTTATTTTCAGGGAAGAAGAAGAACCAAAACCGGATAAACCAGCTGATGAAGTAAAGAGAATTTATATTGTTTTTTTAAATGTTTTTGCTTTATTTAGACTGAAGAATTAACAGCGGAAGAAGAAAATATTAAAGCTTATTTACAAGATGGTGAACCATTAACACCTGAACTTCTTGATAGAATTGTTAAACCATGGTGGACTGAAGAACCATATCGTTCACGTGGTATTGTTGTTGAAGGTTTTCCAGCTGCAGAAGATGAAGTTTTTTATATGATTGAAAATCAATTAATACCAGATCTTGTTATTGATCTTGAAGCCGAAAGTAAAGATCTTGTAAAACGAATATTACCAAAACGTATTGAACAATGGACAAAGAAAATGCAATTAAAAAAAAATAAACGAACAGATAAGAAAGCAAAAAAAGATCGTGATCTGGTTAGAAAAATCAATATTTTTTCTGCAATTATTTTAGCAAAATTTGTTTTTTTTATAGAAGAAAAGAATGGATGTACGACGAGCTGAATTGGTTCAAGAACGAGAAAAACGTATTGAAGCAGTAAGAAACGAATTGACAAAAATATAAAATAATTGATTGATCTTTTTCTTAGGGTGAAACAGTTGAAGATGATGAAATTGAACAGACATTAACCGAAGAATTTCAGGTATATTGTAAAGCATGAATTTAGTAACTAGTATATTATTAACTAATGAAATTAATACCAATCATCTAGTCTCTAATTATATTCATCATCGATTATAATTGAATTATTTAGGGTGAAGAAGATGATGTTGAAGCAGAAGAAGAAGAAGATATAATTACCGCAAAAGGTCGTATTACTGAAATGATTGAACAACAAATAACTGATGTTAAAGAGAAAATTGAAGGAGTTAAAGTATGTTAAATGGAATTCAATTAAAAATTCTCAAATATTCTTTATTTATTCTAATTAGAAAAACTTTCAAGAAGAATTTGTTCCATATGCAACTATCAATGCTGCAGATAAACCTCGTTATGTTAAAAATCGTATAATTAAAAAACTCGAACGATATATAACATTACGTCAAAATCTATTCGAACGTGTTTATCCTATAAAACCACAATTAGCAGAAAAATTAATCGATAATGGTTATTTACATTATTCAAAATTTGGAAAATTTTGTCCTGTATCTGTATGTCATTTTTTTTCATTTATTTGATTTGAATCTATATGAATAAATTTAGTTACATAATGGTGATTGTTTTCCACCAGCATTTGGACCTGATAAACCACCACGTACTGCTGTTTATCGAAAACATGTTTATTATTTAGCTGATGAAGAAGCACGAAATGAATTTATCAAAAATCCTATTTTATATACACAACAACCACCACCAAAATCTCTTGTTCCAGCTAAAATAGCATTACTTGGTCCACCAAAATCTGGCAAAACAACTGGTTTGTTTCTTTCTTCTATTAAAAAAATGGATCATTTCATTTATTTCGTTTTTAATAGTTGTTAAACGTCTTATTGAAGAATTAGGCTGTATGCGCATATCAATAGTGAGTTTACATTAAGTATTAACATGTATATTAAATTTATAAGCATAGGGTGATGCAATTCGATATATATTAGAGAAACAACGTCATACAGTTCTTGGTAAAGATCTTCAAGCATTACTTTTAAAAGGTAGTGATATATCACCTGAAACAGCTATTCGTTGTTTGGAAATTACACTTATGAATGCGAAATGTCAAACACGAGGGTATAAAATCTGTTTAAACCAAAAAAAACAATCGTTCAATATTATTTCATTTATTTTAGTTTTATTCTTGATGGATTTCCTTTAACAAAAAAACATGTAGAATTACTTACGGAAAAAGGTATTATTCCATATAAATTATTTGAATTAGAATGTGATGTAACTGAATGTACAAAGCGAGCTATGAAAGATCGTAGTGAACCAAGGTAATTCGATATTTTCCTTCTTTGATTATACATATATAAAATTTAATTTCTATATTTTTTCTTAGTCGTCAATTTCCATTACCTGATAGTCCTGAAGCTATAGCATACAAATATGCTATTTATCAACATGAAATTTCTCCTGTACGTCAGTGGTATACAGAAGAACATAAAAATTGGATGATTATTAATGGAAAAAATAATAAATGGATTATTTGGGATCAAATAGCAAAAGAAACAGCGAATGTAACAAAACAAATTCAAAATTATATTGAAAGAAAATCATCAAATAAAGCAGCTAGTATAGCTGATCTATGTATTTTACCAAAAGAATTATTAGATCGATTAGGAGAATATGAACATTTCTGTCCTGTTTCATTAACATTACATGATGAACTTATTGATATGTCAGCTACTACAAAAACAGATTATGTTGCTGAATATAGAGGTAATTCAATTTATCTATAAGTAAAATTTTATGGTATGATGTAAAAATAAATAATTTCAAAATAGGACGATATTATCGTATGGCTGGACCAAAAGAACTTCAACAATTTTTGGATGATCCTGAACGTTTTGCTCCACTTGAACCTCATAAATTACCACCACCATTAAATCGTCGCCCTCATCGACGAACTGAAGCAGAAGCAAAAGCTTTATTTCCCAAACCAGTTGAATTTGCTAGTTATTGTCCAGTAACTTATTTCACTGGTGGTAAAAGGTAAACATCTAAATGATGGAAAAATTCTATTCTATTTCTTCCTTAATTTAGATACGAATGTCTTGTTCTTGGTCAACAACAATATACTGTTGAATATCGTGATAAAGTATATTTTATGTTAGATGAAGAAGCACGAGAAAAATTTATGAGGTTTATTAGAATTTCTTTTTTCTCTTTCATAATCAATTACGTTTTTCTCTCTTCTATAGACAACCAGAAAAATATTGGAATATTCCTATACCAAATAAACTTCCGCCACCTAAAACATCAATTGATCTTATTAATTTACCATGTCTTGGTTATTTAGAACAAACAATTGCTCAAGCAATTATTAAAAGTTTAACAGCAACTGGATGTTTTAAACCAAAATTTCCATTTTTATCTGTTAAAACATCAGCATTAATCTACATGGCTTATCATCTTAAAGCTTATAATACAAAAAGTTCGGATTATTTACGTCGAAAATTTCGAAGAAAATTATACATATTCGAAGAGCAATGTGAACTTATCAATTATTTAGCTGAAAAAACAACAGTACGTTATAAAAAACCAGAAAAACGAACACCGGATTATAATATTAAATATGAAACATTTTTTGCCTTACAACATAATGTGCCTACTTTAAATTGGTTAACATAATAAAAGTGAACAATTCATATTTTTCTTTCGCCTTTGACTTATAGTTTTGTGCCTTATATATTTCTTTTTTTTTATTGTGAATTATCTTTTTATTTTATTTCAAAAAAATAATATTAAACAGCGGCACCGGGTAATAAAAGACAAAGAACACTTATGTTTGATTTTGATTGTGCTAGAAGTGCAGCTGAAACAAGTCGTTCAGTTATGATTTGAGATAATTCTAAACGAAGACGATATTTATCAGGTAGAGAATCAAATACATCTCGTTGAATTTCAGTTTCCGAACATTGTACACCATGATTACGTATCGATGAAAAATATATTTTATTTATCTCATCATTATCATTTTCTTCTTCGAATAAATCTAATATTTCATCCATACAAGCAATAACTTCATCTTCATTAGGTAGATAAGGTATGATTATTGATGGATCGTATTTTTCAAGTACAGATTGAACTGCTGTATGATTACGCTTTGATTCTGGTATTTCATGTGATGGTAAACACTATTATATGACAAAAAAGATGATTGAAATTAAAAAAAAGTATATTAATTACTTGTGTAACAATATCAACAACAACATCATAATCAAGTGCTTGCCAAAGACCTTCAGTAGCTAATATAATACATTCAATTGATGAATCAATGTCATATGTTAAACAATAAGGTGCGTTAATAACACATTTTTTGAGATCTTTATCACCATGATTACCTAATCCACGTGTTGTTTCAAATACACCATCGATTAATTCATTCTGACTTATTTTAATACCTAGATATAGATCATTGAAATCGATAAATTCTCCTTTTTTATTTTCAAAATAAAAACTCTACCTGCATCTAATATTCTTTGACGTTCATATTTATTATTTAATGTATGTTTTTGTGTCATTAAAAATGCTTTATCAGGTTGAATAGCTAATGCTTCAACATTTCCTAAATAAATTCAATATATTGTTTTTTCTTTAAAAATACAATAAAAAATATTATACCACAATTAGCTATATGAATCTGACCAAGACTAATCGAAGTTTTTCCTTCATTATATTCTTCTATATCAACGAGTGATTCATCGATTGTATCATTTAGTACAACTACAGCTGTTAATGCTGATGTACCACTCCAACGAACACTAGATGTTTCATGCATACCACGTGATAGAAAATGATCCATTTTTAAATAAGCCAAAGGATACACATCACCAATATCTTTTATATCACTATTATTACGTAACGGATCAATCATACGTGTATAAAGACGATTTATTAACGCATCTTCTACTTCAGAACTATTCATATCTTTTAATAATTTAGACATTTCTAAGAGAATTGCTTCATGTAGATAGTCTCGACATAATGAACTAGCAGCTTTTCCATTATAACCATCAAATAATCCAAAATAAGCAAACTTTTCATTACCACCTAAAATTAGATGATAAATAACTATTGTTAGTGCACACTATCAAACATTCATAACCGCTGTGAGATGTTACTATTTTAGTGAAGAAAAATATGAAATTTAATCTTGTTAATGACTTCGTGGGTGGAAACACACCTATGAATCGCATTCTATGTCAAAAAACAACAAAATAGAATTTGATAGTTTATCTATATGAACGTTGAATGAAAAATAACTAACGTCTTATACCTTATTTTTAACGAAATATTCACATTTCAATAAAATTATCAATTACCTAATACTTATGTGAACAATATTTGTTTTATATAAATAAATGTAAAGCATTAGAAGAAGACAGCAAGTGATGCATACAACACACGAGTGTAAACCAAGTTATTGAATAACTAATATCAAATCTAATAGTGAAATTATCTTATACCGAAACAATCAATAAATTTCATTGTATCTTCCATATCGACTTTATATTGTTTATTTTGACTTGTACACATACCAATACTAAGAAATAGTCGATTATGTGGTATAAAACTCAACCCTAAAATAAATCATAGGATTTTCTTTAAATAAGAAATAAAAATTACCTTGAACATTCGATGCTTCATTATTATCATATATATGTGAATCATCTAGATAATCATAAGGATCAATAGTTCGTTTTAAAATTTGAAATGTATCATTAATTGTTTTAACATATTTTAAATAAGATTCCTCAGATATTTTTAAACGTTGCATACGTTGAATGATTACTTCACGTTGTTTAAGTAATATTTCTATTGTAGCTGGAGCCTCCTTTGTTTTTAATTATAGAAAATATTTAATAGTGTTTAAAAAATATAATTTTCTACTTTAAGTTTAAATAATCGTAACGCATTATGATACACCATGTGTGTTGTTAAATCGCAAATGTTTACATAACGTTCACATATAGTACAGACTACAGTTATATCAGGTTTTGATTGATCATCTATAGATTCAACAATATCAGAAGCTAGAGAAAAGATAAATTACAAAAAAAGCTAACGTATATAGAATTCTCACTATGTTCTTGTTCAGATGATGTTGCAGACGACTCACGAGGTAACTCTTCTTCTCCTCCTTGTTCTTCTTCTTCTTCTTCTTCTTTTTGTGATTTTGATTCTATTTCAGAATCAGACATTTCTGAAAAAGTAGAAATAAAATAAAAGTTTCTAATCAATCACTTATAAAGTTTATTAAAACAAAGATAAAACAAAACAATTAGTCAATAATATCATGAGCGGCACGAGGTTTTTGAAGATCACGTGGTGTAAAAGCAATTGGTAATAATTCTCGAAGTTTATACATTTTCATTTCATTTTTTGGATTTATAAGATAAACGTCCAAATCAAGATCGAATTCTGCTAATATTTGTCGACATGCACCGCATGGACCACTATAACCTATTTCAACATCACTAGAAAAAAGAAATAAGATCATTATATATTGATGAATATCAACTTACGATGTAATTGCAATTGTTGTGAAAGACATTTCACCTTCAGAAACTGCTTTAACAACAGCTGTTCGTTCAGCACAAGTCGTTAATGGATACGCAGCATTTTCAACATTACATCCTGAATAAATTTTTCCAGTTGATGTTAATAAAGCTGCTCCTACTCTATTATAACAAAAGCAGAATTTTGTTAGATAAAAAAAGAACGCTTATAAATATAATTTTGAATCATACCGGAATTTTGAATAAGGACAATAAGCTCTATGTTTAGCCAAATGTGCTTCCCGAAATAATTCTAAACATGTTTAGTATAGTATTATTTTTATTTGAAAATATGTTATGCTCTAATGAAGGTTATGTCTCTAAGAAACGTAAAATTTTGAAGTATTTTTTAGTTTTGATTCCATTCTATTGAATGTGAAATGAACCAATAAAATAGTTTCAATCAACCTCAAATCAATGAAATACAATGCCTTCGTTTCAATCGAACTAATCATCGATAAATAACAGCAAATATGAAAAACTGATCATCTTTCATTCATAATTATATAAAAATGATTCCTGAAAATCAAATGAGTTGTACACTACCTTCGAGATCAGTTGATGAGGGTACATGAACTATCTTTTTTTCCATTTATACTTGTAAATGAATGCAAATAAACCAATAAAATGTAGCTATATGTATATATATATACACTATCGCCCCGAATAAGAATATATATATATATATATATGTTTCATTGCATACAAACAAACACATACACTTGAAGAGAAAAATGTAGATTAATACAGCTCTTATTTATCACAAAAGAAAAAAAAAGAAGAAGAAGAAGAAAACAAAATTGAAATTTCATCGACACTCTTAAGTAGAAATCAATAGACTAGATAAATAAAAGATAAAGAAACAAAAAAAAAGAAGAAAACGAATCTACAAAATGTCGAGTGTTTATTTTTATTTTGAAATTAGGAATTAAAGTTTTTCAATTGATGATGGATTATAAATATTGCTTGTGACTGCATTACGATTAATACGAGGTGATATTCCTCTTGATGGTGCTTCTTTTGATTGAGAACTATTAAAACCTAATTGGTCATGTAAAATTGTTTTACGATTTGTTAGAGGTACTGAATGAGATGCATCCATGGATGTGGATATAGTTGATTGAGATGTTGGTGAACTAGGCTGATTTGAAGGATTAACAGATGTTGATGATTGAGCAGTTGTTATTGATGATAATTTTGGTAGATTAAAACAAGCTCGACGTATTAAATGTCGAGAATTTGATTTTGACGGACGTACAACACCAGGTTTGGATAGTTCAGCTAGAAGTATACAGATAATTTCTCAATTTTAGACAAAATTTATTTTTCTAATTGTTTAAGTGATCTTATAAAAAATTAAAAGGTAATAGATTCGAAGCAGAATTAATACTCGTCTCGATTTGATGTATAGTAAATGGGCGTGAATAAATATGAACTTCTTTGCAAAAATATGTCTGGATAAGAAATGATCTTACAAAATAGATCATATCATTACTCAACGATTATTTCGATATTATTGTCATTTATTGAATTTAATGAAGATTAATTTAACTTTTACTGCTACTAACAAACATATTTATCATATAATCAATGTAATAAATGCAGTTATGTCTGCAACAGACATTGATTACTGATTGTTATGATGATAGAATAAATCTGTCTTTAGTTTACTCAATGTTACAAAGATATAACGAAAAAAAATAACACTATATGAAACTGCTCTAGGAAAATTACCTAGATGTATTGCATAGCCATCTGTAATAAAACGTGCTTGTCCTTGAAAACGAGTTTTAAATTTTCCAACAACAAATATTCGCTCAGCAGGTACATGAATTAATTGATAACCTGCAACATCTTTCGATGAACCATATGCAGCTGCAATCACTAAATCAGCATTTTCAACAACATTTCGTACCATTTCAGATTTATGTTTAATTGGTTCACGAGATATACCATCATTAAATAATGTCATACCTAAATTAATTAAAACTCAGATAAAAAACAACACGAATTTAATTATTTCTTTCAAACCATGTGGAAAATTATGTTGAGCAAGCCAATGAACTACTCGACGTTGTTGTATATCAGGACGTGCAGTTACATATATAATTATATATCCAAGTTCTTGCCAATATCTATTTAATAGATATCAGATGATTTTTCTTTTGATTTAATAATAATTCTATTTTATTTACCTAACAACATCAACCGCACCTGGTCGTACTTTTGGATCATGATGACTAACAGAGAAGCTCGATGTAAATGAACCATCAATACTAAATATAACTGCTTCACTTTTCGGTGGTAATACTGTTAAAAACAGATCAACTGTTGTGTGATCACCACTAAACAAAACAAAAAAAAGGATAAATAAACAAATATAAGTAATTCACAGATGTATTATTAATCTCATGTGATATTTATTATTTGTTTTGATAGATAGTCTATAGATTCATCTTGAGTTCTCAAAGGAACAGCTTGTGTGTGTGTGTGTGTGGGAAGAGAAATGTCATGTTTTTTAGATTAGAAGCTTTATTAACATTACTAACAGTACCAGCTTATAAAGTGATCAAAATTCCATTAATAACAAGCTGATGTTGATTAAACTTTATAATCCAGGGACCATCATATTTTTAATATAAAAAGCTATTCTATGCAATCTGTCAATGCATGATAATAAGGCAAAATTTAAATTAATTTTATAAACAACAGAATGCACTAAGAGATCAGTAAAAAACGTTTTTTTTGTCTAATAATAAAGGTCAATATAACCTTTAGTACGGATGGAAAATTTCATTAATCGATTTATTCTTGTATATGCCATCATGTAAACAAAAGAGAATAGATACATATTTTCCTGACTTAATAATTAAGCAAAATTTAATGGAACTGTCTTGTAAAATACCACAATATATGTCCAGTAAATAGCAAACAAAGGAATATTAGTATAGTTCTTCAAATATGCAATGAATAACTGCTTATTTACGTCGTTCTAAAAAGATATAAAATCTAATAACTATTTCTCATATATTTATTTAACCTCTTGGGAATAGGATATGTATATTTACATCCGGCTTTGAATGAACGTCACGAAACTTGTGTAGAACTTTTATCATGCAAGTATAATTATATATACTAGTGCAGGCAATGAATATGTCATCACTTGTATAGCGTAACATTCCCATCTGTACAATGTTCGCATTCAATCCCTTTGTAATTAATATATTTTCTCAAAGTAATCTCGCTGTCAAGAAACGCTTAAGTTCATCTTCATAAGACATGTTTATGTGAATAAAAATTTTTTTACCGAACAACAAGTTTGACAGGATGTAATCCTAATGGTAATTTTTTATCTACTGGAATTGTATATCGTACACGACCATGTGTATCTGTTTCAACTGTATCAAGTAATGTCCATTCACCATAGGGAGCGGATCTCATAACATATATATTAATTTTTTCATTTGCTAAAGAGACCATATCAATAGGTCCATAATGAAATTTTGCATGAACTATTTGTGGTTTTGCATCAACAACCATAGTATCATTACCTCGATGATTTGGAGCTAAATTCTAAAACGAACAAAAAACTAATAATGAAACATTCTCAATTAAAAACTAATAAATTACTCGAATTTTAACAGCAGTTGTACGATGTAACCAACGTTCAGTTGCTTGTTCAGGAGCAAATGATGGGTGAGCCGTACTTGTTTGTGTACTATAAAAACGATAATCTTCTTGATTACGTGTAATCTAAGAAGAAGAAAAGAAATAAAATTGAATTAAGAAATTTAAAATATACTTTTCGTAAAATAAATGCCATAACATCTCGAGATTCCCAATAACTTGAATGGAAGACAATTGGCAAAACATGTGTTGGTTGACTCATTAAAAATTCTGGACAATAAAGAATATAATCAATACGTCTTGATCCCCACCAAATTTGTCGAACTGAAAAAAGAAAATTTTGTTAATTATAATTTCAAATCGATTACTATAGATTACTATTAGAAAAAATCGTATCAGTATTAATTGAATTATTTCCATTTGCTGGTCGAGCTGAATTAATCAACGATGAATTTTTTGGTTCATTTTTTAAAAATAATTTTGAATATTGATGAACATATTCGACTATATAAAAATGAATCTTGTTGTTTTTTTGAAAGATTAAATTTTTATTTTTTATCTTACCGAGTAATGTCGATTCTCCATCACCTAATGGAAATTGTGAATAACGAGGAATGCAACAAGGATGTATCTGGCTAAATTCAGATTGTATTAATGGTTCAATACGAGATGCATTTGGATCACATGCATGAAATAAATTGTACAATTGTCCACAACATGGATGAACAACTATTTGAAATAAAAATAAATTTTCATTATTTTAGATGAGAAAATCAATTACCATTATCAGTAAGTAGTTTTCGGTAGGCAAGGACAAGTGAAAGTGGAGAGCCAAATGAGAAAAATTCATTAACATCAAATGCTAACATCAAACCATAATTTTCTTGTCTTAAACGAGTATTATCACCCGTACGTGATCTGAATAACATGAGATAATAAATATTTAATTAAAGAGCAAATGAAAAAAATATATTTTACACGCTATCACTCGTTTCAGGATTATCAATTGTCATTGTACGTTTAGGAGTTTGTCGATTTGTTGATTGTATTGATGTTGTATCACTATTGTCATGTTGAGTATTTGTCATAGTTCGTTTAGATAATGCAGGAGTACGAGGTGTAGAACCCTCTTTAAAAAAAATAACATTTCTATAATTATGTTATATAATTTTATGTAAAATCTAGTTCGATCAAAATTTGCTTTCATTCTATATAATTCTTTCTATTACTAAAATTATATTCTTAGGGGAATTCTTTGATTGATGCAAGAAAATAATACAAGATAGAATCGAAGAACAATCAATAGTCGGCAAAGTTGTATACATAAATTTTTAATATCCATTATATCAGTTGAACAATTTTATATTATATCTCTCATTATTTAATTATAGAGTAACATTTATCGAGATTATTTTAAGACGAAATAGTTCTATTCATTATTGTATTTTGTCTGGAGAAAAAAAATACTTATAAATAGATTGGCTGTTAGAATTAAACTATGATTATTCGGAAAGAGAAATGTCAAGATTTTATCATTTATGTAAACTGATATATATAAAAATGCAAAACTTGTCATTATCAATCGTTGCATGTCGTAGATGCCGTCATAATTCGAACGAGATAATATGAAACATTATTATATGTTAGTCTTTAGACGCATATTTATAATTAGCAAAAAATAGTTTCTTTGTAAATGTTTGATTAGTACTAAATTTTGAAAACTCAAATTTGACATTTTATACTTCAAGGCGTCTTTTCTTATGTCAGATTTTATAATATATTCTTAATTAAATGCTAACAGACTTTTCTTTTTTGATTAAATAGAGTATTTTGATACAATTTCTCGATTTTTTTACTGCTGCTATATGATATTTCAAATAATAATAATAAGTGTTAAGTAGAAAAAGAATTACCATCACCATATAATGACGTCGTATCCTCTAAACCTTGATTTAAACATAAAGCATCATAAGCTAATATCGCTCCATTAGCATCCCCAATGATAATAACCTTTAGACGAAAAGAAAATCATATAAAAAAGAATTATTTCTCTTCTCATCATTACTTGTCCAGAAAAATATTTTCCTTCTTTTGACGATATAAATTCTTGATAAACTTTATTTGCTGATGCAACAGAATTAGTTAATACAGTTTGATAATTCGGATGTGATGTAGCAAATAATGGTATGGCATTTATTGGTAATGTTTCACTATGTGTTATATCACGTGATGTATCTGCAGTTCCATAAGGTGATAAACTACTAAGTAAATTAATAGCTTCAATACATATTGAACGACATTCAACAAAACGTATGGCTAATTTTCCTTCAATACGTGGATAATGATTTCGTATAACAGTATCAATTGTTGAACGAAAACTTAGAAAATCCGTTTTTTTTGCGCTATCAAATGAATCTTCTGTAGAAAAAATATTACCTATTTTGTTAATAAAATAAATAAAGATATGAAAGGGAATTCAATAAATTATATTTTTACATACCACCATAGAAAATAAGAATAAGATATTGAATTTGACATTTATTATTACTATCATCGCCTGATAAACTAACATATGTTCGTTCATCATCATCAATACTTGGTAATTTTCCTTCTTCTTCTATTGAATGTTTAAGATTTCTTAATGAACGAGATGCTGATACACCTTCAATATGAGCTAAACCAATAAAAATAGATATTAGATTTTTTTAATTAAAGAAAATTTTTAATTTACATTCAGCATCAAAATATTCATCATCAGGAGTTTCATCTCGTGGTAATGGCGGAACAGGAAATGAATTAATTCTTGGACGATTAGCATTTAAATTATCAATAGAAGTTTGTCGACTTCGTTTAACGGATAATGGAGGATTGAGTTCATTAGTTGTTAAAGATGTTGTTATTTCATTATTTTCATTTTCATTTTCCGAATTCGAATTCGCTGTTGACAAACGATTCTCTTGATTTTGAAATTGTGCCATACGTCTATTTAATTCACGTTGAGTTTCATCTTCTAAACGTCGAATATCAGCTAGTGTTAAACCTTGATATTCATCTTGCCAACACCATGCTTGACGATGAGCTCGTAAGATTGTTTTACGTAAAGCTTTTTAATTTACAAGAAACAATGAATTACATCATTTATAATTTTTTTCATTACCTATTTCATGAATAAAACGTTCACATTTACTTTGCATACCCCAATAACGAAATTCAACTCGACATAATTTATAAGCACACATGATTGAATCTTTACGAGCAGCTTTTTTCATTTGTTCAAACCAATCAGGTGATAATGGACCTCGTCCTAAATGTACAAAAATGAAATTATGTAGATATATCATTACAACTAATAGAATAAAACAATTGTTCTTTGAGTCTCAAGTAATCTCCCACAGACAGTTCAAATAGTCCAATCCTTATATTTAACTCAATCTATCGTGAAGTATTTAATATAATCATAACAAACCTGTTTTTTCCGAATGAAATATTGCTGGATTTTCTGCAGGTATGTCCGATAATGGTTGACTTTGAACAATATCAAGAAATTCTAAATAAATAATTAAATGTCAAATTCAGTCTATTCTTTTTTTTGCTCTCTAATTTATTAAATACGAACCAACAACACGTTGATCGATTTCTTGTGGTTTTAAATTAAAGATATTTTCTTGTGTACCAAAATCTGCTTGATAACATGTTTCAACTTCAAGTATAAAACGTTCTATAAATGGACAACGATAACGTGTTTTTGTATATGGATATGCATTCCAGGCTTCTTCTTCGATTTTCATTGCACTCGCGGGTAATATTGCTTTAAACCAAGCTGGTAAATGACGTTCAATATGATAAATTTTAAATGTATATTGTCCATTACCACCTGGTCCATTTGTATACGGTTCATTTTTAATGATTTCAACACCACTACCAGGTGCATTTGTTTCTTCTCGACTTTTTTTCTAAATAAAGTACAAAATGTTTTTTTTTGGTTTTCTTCAAACTAAAGAAAAAAAATCTAATCAAGAGCTCACTAATATATCTTATATTGTACTTACAACAAAAAGAAAAATATTAATTCTAAAGATATTTTATTAGCAGAAAGATCCATGCAGCAATGAGCTCCAATTATTATTATTAGTTTGGTTTAGTTTTTTTTTTATTAATATTTATTTTACCTGTTGTTTTTTATTGAATATGTCTAAAATAAGAGAATTTGAATAAAAGGAGAAAAGAAAACGAAGCAAATCTGTGATTATCTAAAAGTTGTTTAGGTTTAACTTTGATTAATTAACACCTACCACAATCATATACAACTGAGCAATTCGATATTCATCGACGGTCATTGGAACTGGAATACGATATTCTTTAATAAGCATTTTTGTTATACAAAATAATATGTATATAGATGAGGTGTTATGGTATTTGAGAATAAGAAAAATGCATCTATTGTATTGCTGATGTTGTTGTCGACTGTCATTGTATGTTCTCTATATGTGGATCATCTGAAATCACTAGAGAAGTAGTAGCAGACATTTCTTTCTTCCTCTCTATTTCCGTTCTCTCATTTTCCTTTTTTCTTTCTTTTTTTCTACGCGTTCGCTTTTCCAACTCGAAAGGGACCGAAC